AACAAAGGCTTGTATTATATAATTCAAAGCATCTTGGACTTTTTAAACTTTACCCTAGTTCCTTTTGAATCATTATGTTTACTTGCAGGTGGAGGTTACAGTGATATCCAGTTCAATTGGAGAACACGAACAACGATATGCATCGGGGTTGCCCGTGGGCTCGCATTTCTTCATGAGGAAGTAAGACCACATATTGTTCATAGGGATATAAAAGCAAGCAATATTCTGCTTGACAAAGACCTTAAACCCAAGATTTCAGATTTTGGTCTTGCAAGGCTTATTCCATCACACTTGACACATGTTAGCACCCGAGTAGCAGGAACAATGTGAGTATTATAATTTATGGTTTCTGTTCAGGGTAGCCTTTTCAATAGTAAATCTTATTCCCTCAAATTCAATTCCCAACTTTTGCATAGAACTTAAGTCTTTTTAACTTTTATTTCAGAGGTTATTTGGCACCAGAATATGCAATAAGGGGGCAGTTGACACGAAAAGCCGATATTTACAGTTTCGGCGTCCTCCTTGTGGAGATAGTCAGTGGGAGATGCAACACAAATGCACATTTACCAACAGGAGATCAATATATTCTGGAAAAGGCATGTGTGTCCTATGTTCCTAGTTGTATTGATATTCCAACTAAACTCAGTCTCCATATTCATTTTAGTTGCCTACCCAAAGTCCCTAATATTAATGTGTTCTCATTCTAAAATGTGGAAGTTGAACTTACTTTTTTATTTGAATATGTATATATATATATGTATATACAAAAGCACTGTTGGATTCATAATTTGATTAGTTCTTTAAGCATGAAGGCCAGATCAGAAGATAGTAGAATTATGCTTCAAGTTAAAATGCCAAACATTGAAGATTTAGAAATCATCTTCTAGTAATTTTTGTGGCTGATTCATAATCTTGAATTGCAATTCTAACATTACATAACTTAATCATATTCTACAGCATTATATGAGATTTTTGGACCAACTCTTATGTAACATTCTATCCTTACAGACATGGGAGCTTTATGAGCAAGGGGAATTGATAAGGCTGGTAGATATATCACTAAACGGGTTCTTCGATGCCGAAGAAGCTTGTAGAATTCTAAAGATTGCCCTTCTTTGCACTCAAGATAACCCAAAGCTAAGGCCATCCATGTCTTCTGTGGTTAAGATGCTCAACAGAGAAATTGACATTGGTGAAATTAAGATAACAAAACCAGGGTTGATATCAGATATTATGGACCTTAAAGTTAAAGAACAAAAAAATAATAATGATATGAAAACTTCATGTTCATATAGTGCATCATCCTCTGCCTCAGAGAGACAGGGTAATACCATGTCATTTGCTGGTTCAAGTGAAGTAAATACAACATTCACTGTACAATATGATCCAAGTACATAAATATCATTAGACAATGATTTTTACTTTGAGTTAATATTATTATTTTATTTCATTTTACTACTGTGGCTTGTTATTATCTAGTGTAAAACTTGCGACAGTTGTGTAGTTTGTGTTAGTTATTACTTTCCTTTTTCTGTTGTTGTGGTGCCACGTGAGTAGGAGGTTTTGCAAATGTTCCATCTTGTAAATATGGACCGTGGCTGTAATCATACTAAATTACTTAAGGTTAAACCTTTTTTTTATATAATACAAATGTATCCTCTCACATTTTAAATAAGGAACTAATTCCTTTTATGGTTCATATTTCCCCTCCTAACAAGTGTCATTCGTAGGAGTTAAACTCTTAACTATTTGATAATCTTAAAGATCTAACATGTACTTACACTACTAAACTAACACATTGTTGGTGTTTAACATTAAAGTCGCCACAAATATATAACTTGATGCACCCCAATTTTCTTTTTGAAAATTTAAATAATTTTGAGGGTATTTATTTCCCATTTCTCATATTAAAAAAAAGTTAGAAAATGTGAAATGCAAAGTATATTAGTATCGACATGGGTATTCCTTCAACTTTTAGTAAGAAATTAAATGTGATTGTATCTTTTAATAAGTGTCATTACACAAAAATCAAATTTTTGACTTTTTAATCATTATTTAGCGAAATCTTACGTCACTAGATCATTACATTATTATTAATGTATACTTATAATAATACTATAATAATATTGTAATAAGGAAAAATAAAAATCCAAATATTTTTGATGAAGCAAATAAAAGAATAAAAAAACCCACGCGATCTAAGATAACAACAAGCGAAGGGTACTGCAGATAGATTGAAACGCGTACAACAGTGGGTCATTGACTGTCGTTCGAGCCTCCGCTAATTACGGTCGTGGGCCCCACTGTTCCGGTGAGTGGTTCATGTTTGGATCTGCCATTTTTATTCTATCATCTCCTTATTTCTTCACCGAGTAATTCTTTGAATGTTTTCTCTTCTGGGTTTCAAAGCTGATGCATTTGGTTTAAGCTTTTGTTCCTTAAAAAAATGATAATTTGATTATTCCGCTACAATATCTTCGACCCATGATGCTTTTATGGGGCTGGAGGCTTTAGAGTTTATTGGTTTTGAATTATTGAGCCTCAGAACAATGTTTTTATATTAAAGGTTGTGTTTTTATGCATGTAGAGCTTAGAACTTGTGTTGTAAGGTTTTAATTCTTATGTTAACTTGTACATGGGTTATGCAACTACTTAATGATAATGATATATAAAAATGGATTGAGAATAAAAATGATTTTGCTATTGTGGTGGTGCCCAATTAGCATTTATGATTTATCGGGATACCTTACCATCTTGTTTTCCTTCGTTAGTTATGATTTAAAATTTGTTTTGGCCTCTTTGATTGTAATTTTAGCTTTTCTTTTGTAAACTACACAATGTGTCATCGAGGAAGTAAAGTTCATTGGAGTCTTTTATCATATGGGTTATGGAGGAAGTACAGTTAATTGAACTGATTTACTGAGTCTAGTTATCATATGGGTCTTTCTCTATTTAATAGGCTTTAATGGTTTAATGTTTTAGGGATTTAACTGATTTACCTAATCTCTGTACCATACGGGTCTTTCTCTCTTAAATAGGTTGATTGAAACTTTCGGTTTATGGTATAGCCTAATGGTATCGTTCATTTCACCCATCACAGCAGATCTGCTACCATATTTCATGTTGTCGAGATGTGTTGTGATGAGTTACATATGCTTGTTTCGCATATATTGTTTATATCTTTTGCCTACCTTATCTGTTATGAAATGAGTTTGATTGTGATGGCTTACTTGTATGATGGTTTTGGTTCAAATTCTTATTTCAATGAAAAAAGGTAGTTCATGGTGTTTTGTGTAGTCTGAGGAGACTTGTAAGTTGTAACTATTACATTGTCTGAAGCTTATTCACAACTACGGCATTTTATTTAGTTCAAAATTATATTCTAAAATTGCCTGTTATTGGAGCTACAGTTTACTCACGGAAGGACTTTATGTCTGGCATAGAGGATAAGAAAGAACAAGGACATATGGATGTAAATGCGTCTAATGATTCAACTAAAATGCCATCATCTCAGCATCAGGTTTTATGCAGATCTTGTCGTCCTGCATATAAGCGGTTTTGGGAAAGACTGCCTCTTTACGTCAAGAATTCTTTTAGTACCAATATCATTTAATATTTTGTGGCTTATTATGTTCATAAATCTTGTAGGAGGCAGCTGTAAAGAAAAAATATGGAGGTATTATGCCCAAAAAGCCACCACTCATATCTAAGGTACATGTTTGAGTGTCTGTTTACAGTTATTTTCTTTGCAACTTTAGTTTATGAAAGCAAGATGGTTCATTTCCCATGAATGTTTAGTGATATATGCTATTTTTTAGTTCCATTCATAATTAATTTTATTTCGTGCAGGACCATGAACGTGCATACTTTGATTCTGCTGATTGGGCACTTGGAAAGGTACTTCTGGAAAACTCAGCCCGGTAGTATTTGCATTGAAGTAGAATATGTACAAATTTGCTGATAAAAAAAGAATATGTACAAATTTATTTCTTAATTCTCGTTTTACCATCACATGAAACAGCAAGGTGTTCAGAAACCTAAGGGACCGCTCGAGGCTCTTCGGCCTAAATTACAGGTATTTAACAATTATAGTAATATTCTCGTATTTGAATTTTGAACCTCATAGATAATTATAAAATTTTATTCTTGAGGTTGATAATGGGCAATCATTCTTCAGTTAAAATTGAAATGGCATTTTGTTAATATGTCATTTGCAGTTCTAATAAAAATGTGTGATTTCTTTATTGCTAAAAACTACAAACCAAATGAAAGATAGAAAGCACCATGAGGGTATTCTTTCTTTTTGTTATATTCCTTTTTATATCATAATACATATATTTTCCATCTCTTTTCACTTCTATATCGTACTGTACCTTCCCTTCCCCTCAAGTAGAAAAGCATATGGTGATTATAATAGTGACTTTTCCATGTGAACTCTTGCCAGTTGCCACACAAAAAATAAAAACAAAATTTTTTGTTCAATAATTAATTATTTGATTTAACAAGCATATGAGTATATTTAATTTCATGCGATTATCGAGGGTATTGTTTAAAAACGGACGAACGAGATACTAATACTTTCCCCGACCTATAATCGACTCCCAAATTCAGAATTGTAGTTCAAAAGTTCCAATATTTGCAAAACACATTTTGTAGTCACCAGCACATTTGGAGTCGCCTGATTATCTAAGGCCGACCTCCAAAATATGAATAAATACATATTTTGGAGGTGGGGAAGTTCTAACTCTCCCCAGGTCGAGGAAAGCCGGGAGGCTGGGCACAACAACAAGGAATGCTAGTAATACACTCTTTTACTATTTTTAAAAATAGGAGATAGTTTGAGATGTGGCACAATAAGAAAGAGTGTGTTGCAGCATTTCTTTTTGCCATCTATTGTTGAGCATAGAATCTTTGGAACAAACAAATGTTGTGTTAAAATAACTGAGTCGAACAATGGATAGTAAGTTTAAGAAGTACAAGTGTAGAATCATTTCCTTTTGATGTTTCAGCCAACACAGCAGCAGACACGTTACCGGAAATCTCCTCATGCTCCTTCCGATGAAGGTATGTTTTTTTTCGCAAACAGATTTCTGTCTTCCTTTTCTCATGGTCTTCAGATTGAGCTAAATTTTAATGTGTTTTCGATTTTATAGAAGGTGGAAGTGTTCAATCCGAGGATGTAGCTTCCAAGGAGTAAGCAACACTCAATCTTTTCATGATGTGCTGGTTAATATTCTGCTACCTCAATAGCTCAGTAGGCATCACATTTCATATTGTTCAACAAAAAATGCTGATTATGTATTCATATTAGCAGAAGAATGTTGTGTTTGACCTGCAATTATTATGTGGACTTGGTACTATGATTTATATGTATTTTTTTTCTTGATTCCAGAAAATAACGCAATAAGAATGAAAAAATAGACATTAAAATTAGTAAGCTTTGGGTTTTGAACTCAGATGTTTGATTATGAGAGTATTACAAGTGCTTTCATTTTTATTTTTTATATACCTTAACTAGTATCCTTTGCATTCTTCTATTTAATATTAAGAAATATATTATGGAGATATTGTAAAACATATCTAAAATGTTGAGTTAGTTACCGTAGAGTAAATCTCAAAGGATATTTGATTTTTTTTTGGTTGATGGTCTGGTATTTGATACTTGATGGGCTAATTAGTAGTAAATTTTCTTTTGTATATTATTATTATTAGCGTGTTGACAGGCCCGATATATGTAACTTTGGGTCGTATACAAAATAAATATTTAATTTCATAATTATGTTACATATTCTATGGTTTATAACGCGTTTATTATCATAAATTCTAGTGGTTGCATCTACCACGTCAGAGTTTGTAATACGAACACACCTATTAGATGTATATCTACATCTTCGAGTAGATTCGATCAATGTCAAACACAAACAATACTCCAAACCATCTCTTCTCTTCTCACCATTTCTATTTTATTATTGACTCTTCACTTCCCTTGATTAGAGCCATTTTTCCTCTGCAACATGTCATTATATGAAGAAAAGTCAGGCCTTCAAGCTAGCAACATATAATTAGTAATAAGCCCAAAAATACTATGAATCACAACTTGTAGAGAAATACATATAACATTTTAACTTTCACCTTTATTTGATATGAATATTGAAAGCTAATTTTCATATCTCAAGGAATTCAATAAAATATAAAGAAATTAAATATGTCAAAAATAAATAAAAACATGCATACCCTTCTTTTTTTCTCCGTTAGCATTCCCATACTTATTGTGGATAAAAAATTGTTAGGGCACCCATGGCTGAGGAATTTGTGTCCTCATTTTGTCCATTAACCCCACCATACCCATTATTATTCACCACCATCTGGAGGGTCTGGATCCCATTTCCTTCAAATCCATTTCCCATATGACCCACTTGAACCATATAGTTGTTGTTTGGGACTGAAACCGTGTTGGGAGCTCTATCATGGTGGTTGAAAACACCATTCAGATTCTAATCACCATTGAGGGAACCATTTTCAGGTTTTGGTTTCTCCACCTCAGTGGTTTCAGATGAAACAACATTGTTATCCGAATTTTGACTCGAGGAATGAATTTTGGTTTCAATATTCTCAGCAACAGCCATAATCAAAGAGAATAAAAAAACCCCACTTTTGTAGAAATAGAAAGTTCTAAACTTTTTTCAGATTTATCTAGAAAAAAAAAAGAAAATTCTGGTTATCAACAACTTGGCCCAAACTAATTACTTGAGTGGTGGTGGATTAGTGAAAAAGAATGAAAGTGGAATTGACATATTAGAAAAAACTAAATAGAAATTTAAGAATAAGAAAGTAGAAATAATAAAATAATACCAAATTTCATGAAAAGTGAAGTGAAAATAGAGATGATAAAATATGAACCTGGGGTTAGTGTTGTTTCCCACCCATTTGTTGTCTTCATCATTTGGTTTTCCTTGAGCATGAGAGAGTTGAAAAAATGTTGTGACAGTTAAGACCAGTTACAAAGGAAGTAATGTACATTTAAGACCCCTCTAATTACAAATTAAATTATGGAAATAATAAATTGTGAAAGGGCAAATTAGGGAAGAAAAAATTATACCACAATGACAGTTAAAGCATGTTTTGTCTTTATCTACTGGTATAGATATTATGTTAAATTATATGGAAACCTTGTCTAATTTCATGTATCTATCTGTGTACTCGGTGACAAGGTGAGTTATTGCAATTACATGTACACTGGCCCGTGTTTTTAATTTATTTATGAAACAACATTAAATGCCGTATATAATTTTAACAAGAGATTCATATATTTTTATTATATCATCTCTTAAATAAAAATAATACAAATGAATAATGAATGATTCATTAATTGTGTGTAAATCTTTACAATATAAATATTACATTTATCTTATAATACAAGTTTTGATTTTACATTAGTATCCATATATAGCTAGATAAATTAATATAATATAAATTACTGTCTTATATAACTTAAAAGGAATGAATATGCACGTGTATACTAGAAAAGCGAGGTCATAAGTGAAAGATTAACGTATATTAATAGATATAGTCTTTTGAGCCATAACAACAATCAAACCTCTTAACCTTATTGGGTAAGGTCAGCAATATAGATTTAACAAAGGTATAATAACTTATCACAAAGAAGATATAGTCTTTAGAATGTAGACTATTAAGGTTTTAAAGCAAATTCGTTGGCAAAATCAACTTAATAATCTTTAAAGAAAGATTTGATAGATATATGCATATTATGTATATTTATCTCATTAGAGTAACAACTATTAAAGACATCAACACCCTTTCTTCAATGACATCAAAGTTGTTGATTGGTTTAGGTATAATGCCTATACAATTTTTTTTGTGTGATCTTTATATCTCCATAAAAAATATATTTGACTTAAAATTGATATACTATACTTTGTGAAATAGGGATCATCTATTTAAAATTGATATTTTTATATTAGCTTTAAGGATAAAAATGTCATTACATATATAAATAGAATGACGTAATTATCTTTACATTATTTTAGATATCACTTATCTCTCTATTAATATGGAGATGATTTCTAGTCACTTTGGTAGGGAATAAAAATAGTGTTCGTAACCGTAAAGTTTGTTATTCATCCTGTTACTTTTGGCGGGAAATGCCATTCTAACAACACTTTGAAGAAGCACCAGTCATTGTTCACAAGTTCACACTTTCGAATTCCTCTTTCGTTCTCATCAACCTTTACTCTCTCTCTAACTTTCTCTCTCTGGTTCCGCTTCCATTTCAGAATGGCGGAAGAAATTGACGACATAGATTACTCTGATAATCTGTAAGTTGATCTCACACTTTCTCTGATTTCTCAATTTCGAATAATTTTCTTCGATTTCTTTCGCTGATCCAAGTTTTATTCAACCAGGTTCATGCGCCTGTTACAATGCAAGTTCTGTCGTCAAACCAATCGATTCGACTATGAAGGATTCAGCTACAAGATTCTCCAGACCATTGAAGAAGGCGTTTACGGCCGTGTTTACAGGTGCCGCCATAGCGCTACCGGTGACATCGTCGCCATCAAACATATCGAATTTGGTCACGAACAAATTGGCGTTCCATCTTCGGTTGTCAGAGAAGTCTCGCTTCTTCGAGCACTCGAACATGTCAACATTATTGGGTACAATGCATAAACCTTCAACTATTCACTTCAACTACGAGTATTTTATGTATATGAGTGTTTTAATGTTACAATCTGAAACCGTAATTGAAACACTTAGCAATGGATACATTTTAAATTCTTTCACTTCAAATTTTCAATTAACTGTTGTTGTGTCAGTTTGCTGAAGGTGTTGACCAAGGAAACATATGTTAACCTAGTTTTTGAGCCTCTTGATCAAGATCTTGGCCGCTATATTAGGGATAACGGAGGCGTTCAGGATCCATTGATTAGAAAGGTATACATGAATTTTTTTTCAACGTTGTAATAAATAATAAAGGATTTTCAATATTGACACGCTTTTTGGTTCTTGTTGTTGCAGAGTTTTTTGTGGCAAATACTCTCTGGTGTGGCATATTGTCATGCGCACAAGGTTCTGCATAGAGATCTGAAACCAAAGAATCTTCTGTTCGATGAATCTAGAATGATAATCAAGATCGCTGATTTCGGTTTGGCTAGAGAATTTGGAGGAGACATGGTATTAACTAGATATGTATGATGTTGAACCTTTCTGTTATGTCATTTTCAGTAATAATTATATATTTATATTTGTTAGTGTCAGATATTTATTTATGCAGATTATTTGTCATTCAGTTTCAGTATTTAGTTTCAGGGGGAAATATGAATCACCTGAAATTGGATATCCGTATAGATATTATAGACATTAAGATATCTCATATGTTGAGTTAGAGTAGACGTAGGGAATGAAAATGAGGGTAAATATTGCATGAGTGTTGATTTTAATTATACAAAAATGAATTTGTTTGTTTTAACTAAAATATCATTGTGGACAAGACAACTTGGATAGATGATGATTTAATGCTGACTTTCTGATACATTAGTATCTATAACTTTTGGATTTATGAGAGAAATAAGTAAGCATTAATAGGAGGTGTTTATATCATTTTTTCCAAGTTTTATCCTATCAATGGCACATCCTTTTACTTTTTAGAATTTGGTGTATCTTTTTCTGTGGTATTGTAGCAAGGTTAATGGTAGCCATTTAAGACACAGGTCCACACCAACTTCTGCCATTATTAGTCTTTTCTTAATTACAGTTCTATTATTTGTCTGAGGTAGTCATTTGCACAACAATCTGAACAGCAAAATGATAGGCCATTATCTCATAAAACACAAATAAAAAAAAGTACCCCATATGATATCATATGGTGTGCATCCTCTTCATGTCAAAATAAAATTTTCCGATCTGTTTAACTTTTTCAATATCAGTACCCAGTCGTTTGATAAGTTTTACTGAAAATATCATTTGGACTTTCGATATCTACACTTTAGGTAAGAAATAATACATTCTATTTGGATTTGGACCTCACAACTCACAAGTGCACCTTAACTCGACAGCCTGCAAATCGTTATTATAGGGCACCTGAACTCTTGCTTCACTCTGATCATTATTCATCTGAAATTGATGTATGGTCCGTGGGCTGTATATTTGGTGAGATGGTAATCGGAAAGCCTATATTCGGAGAAATGGGTACATGTGATGAATTAGATGCGATTTTCAGGTATGTTCTGACTTCTGAGAAAAAAGTCATTTATTTGCCTTCTTGGTTGCAACTGAACCAACAAAGATTTTCTATATAAAGAATGTTAGGGACCCCCTCCGAGGAAACCTGGCCAGGAATCACACAATATCCTCTCTTTGGATCATATGCCATATATAATCCAATGGTATTGAATTCTCCTTTCTCAACTATGTGTTCTAACCTGTTGTAGAACCTTGGAAAGCTATCAAATCTTACTTGCTAATGCTATCGTGCACTTGTGCAGGACCTGTCAACTTTTTTTTCTGCT